CTCTATCAAACTATAGCAACCGCCATTGTGTGAAGGGAGGATTATAGCTCCATCCATTCGGTGGACATAGTTCATGGCCCTTTAGACTTTTGTGAAAAATGTGAACCAACGAAACAAATTCCTTACTTTTTCTTCCCCTCAAATAAAATTCACCGATAGGGTCTGTTAAGACTTGATCACATTGCACTATTACCGTCACCTTGAACATGTTGCGTTCTGAAGGGTGTGAATTAAATAGGTATGATATGTCTTCCATTGAATCGGTACATTTTCATGCATTTATGATGAGTCTTTTTTACTTTTCATGATGTTTTAATCTGATATAGTTTGTTCTAGATGCGGTTTTAAATGGGCTAGTTTTGATCCGCAGCTCCTTCTGGTCCTACATTTCTTGGGAATGCTTTTTAAACAAAACAGGTACAGAAGTTGCTACTAATACCTTAACGACACACCTGTAACAGTTAGTTCATCAGAACCTGAATTCCCGACTTCAAAGATCAATGGCGAACCGGATATTCCCTTTCAAGTGAATTGGCCTGGACTCAGTTTCATATAGCGTTTTCAAAAGAACTTGAATTTTCAGCCTACAGAATCATTATGCTCTCTTCCTAACGCGCTTTCGAGTGAAATGAGAAATAGAAAAACTGATGACTATTCTTGGTGCCACAAGTTGGTGGAAGCAGACCAAAATGCTAATCTTGTGTACAAATGTTTTTTTCCAGTCCCCTTCAAAGCCCTCCTCTTTCTCGCAGTCGTGGCTGGNAGACGAGAGAATCAGCTGGGTTATAGCTGAATCTCTCGAAAAAACAAACAAATTAGTTTGCAAATGAGTGTATGTTCGCTAACTGGTTGAGGACTTCGTAAGGTGAATTTGCTAATGGTTACCACAGCACTTGTCTTTGTGGTGGCGGAATGGTACCCGGTTCAACCGGTCAAAAGGACGCTGCAAAAACTGCACAACCCAAGCCGGCCAGCGTCATAAAACACCAAAATCCGTCTCACGAACGCAACCTCCATAGGATCTATATCAAACTATAGCAACCGCCATTGTGTGAAGGGAGGATTATAGCTCCATCCATTCGGTGGACATAGTTCATGGCCCTTTAGACTTTTGTGAAAAATGTGAACCAACGAAACAAATTCCTTACTTTTTCTTCCCCTCAAATAAAATTCACCGATAGGGTCTGTTAAGACTTGATCACATTGCACTATTACCGTCACCTTGAACATGTTGCGTTCTGACGGATGTGAATTAAATAGGTATGATATGTCTTCCATTGAATCGGTACATTTTCATGCATTTATGATGAGTCTTTTTTACTTTTCATGATGTTTTAATCTGATATAGTTTGTTCTAGATGCGGTTTTAAATGGGCTAGTTTTGATCCGCAGCTCCTTCTGGTCCTACATTTCTTGGGAATGCTTTTTAAACAAAACAGGTACAGAAGTTGCTACTAATACCTTAACGACACACCTGTAACAGTTAGTTCATCAGAACCTGAATTCCCGACTTCAAAGATCAATGGCGAACCGGATATTCCCTTTCAAGTGAATTGGCCTGGACTCAGTTTCATATAGCGTTTTCAAAAGAACTTGCATTTTCAGCCTACAGAATCATTATGCTCTCTTCCTAACGCGCTTTCGAGTGAAATGAGAAATAGAAAAACTGATGACTATTCTTGGTGCCACAAGTTGGTGGAAGCAGACCAAAATGCTAATCTTGTGTACAAATGTTTTTTTCCAGTCCCCTTCAAAGCCCTCCTCTTTCTCGCAGTCGTGGCTGGATTGATACTACTCTGCGTCCCTCTACTCCTTGTCTTGCTGAATCCGAAACGATTCGGTTGTCGAGAATGCCGCAAAACAGAAGGTAGGATTTCATGATAAAGTGAATCACAATATATCGACTATCCAACTACGATTATGGTCCCCGTTACCCTCCTGTAAGTCCACTGCTCCATCCGTAAGACGACTACTACTCTTATACAACCGCAGAGTAGAGAAAGAGCATCACAGGCAGTTTTCAATATCTACCCGTTCTCACTACGACTGTCTAGATATGTTCTTTCACCATAAGAAGCAGATGGCGTGTTTCTATTTGTGCTGACTACCGCATCCTCCTTCTCCTCCTTAATGCAAGGATATTTTCCTACTAGGTGTACTCAATAGTAGTAAGCCGAGGAATCCCATTGTCCCATGGACGTTCCTGAGTCATATATTAGTCATGTGTCGAACAGATAATTAGGTAAAGTTGGATATTGCCCGATAATGAACTTACCAAGGTTGTTTGATATCAGTGTCTGGCCACATCTGTGGAAATTTCGATTCAGTCAAGCAATCCCGAGTGTGCGCACCAGGAAAGTGATCGCGTGCGTATGGATTCTTCCATGGTCTTCCCACGTGGCCGCTTGCCACTCTGGATATCCTTGTTTTACTTTTATGGCTGATATCTTTTAGTTTTTTATTCCTTTGATCTGCGTTGATCAGAAGAAGATATCTCGAAAACAATAATGTTCGTCGAGTTGTGTTCTGAACTTTACACTGAGCGTCACGCAGAAAGTGATCTATCAACGCGCATGTGATTATCCATACTCTAAGGAGCACACCAATGGAAGGAATAGAATGAGAACGAAGGCAGATTTGTTGCCGGCAGTTACTGGGCTTGTACTCAGATCACGTCTGCCTGAACAGTCTCACCACTGTACTTGGAAAACCTAGAAAGTCACTTGACACGATAATCTACCGAATGGTTCGTTCAAAGCATACGCCACAAGTTCATATTATAATATGTGCGTCCGGCAAGCGCAAGTCCGGTGAAAAGAATTCGAACCCGGGTGAAATGTTCGGTGAAATGTGTTGCCGGGGAGATTCTGAGTACGACTAGCCGGAATATTTATACCAGCCAAGGAGATGGATTAGTCAAATGAGAGTGATGTAGATGCGAATGCTGAAATGCGGTTTTTAATGGTAAATGTTTGTGAAGAAAGGAGGTTTCTGCCAACTTAATTTCCTCAAGGTGCTCTCTTGAAGGAAGAGTATTCATCGGAATGCCAACCGCGATCTTTAGTATGTTACATTTTTGTCCGAGCGTCATGATCAACTTGCGCCTGAAGCTCAACCGTACTATTTCAACTAAATAAGACTGGAGTTTCCCAAAATAGCCCCTTATTTTTTATATTTACAACGTGCAGCGTATTTCCATTTTAGGATAGAGCATATTCAGAGCTTGTAGAAAACCGTGCACTCTATGGAAATATATCTACGGTTATCTCACTCTCTAAATGGATTCCCATGTCCACGAAGGTCACTCCCGTATGCTTCCCTATAGAATGCATCAAAGTGATGAATGTTGTTCGAATCCATCGGAGTGTCTACAGTTCCCACCTTGATGCGGTGACATTAATATGGATATATAACATCCGGCGCTCTCTCTGCGATCCCTTGGGTCCAGTGGCACTAGGAATGTGCACTTCTGTGGGCTAAAATAAGAAATCACAGGTGCATGAAAAATCATGCCCATGAGACTCGATTTAGACTGGCGAAGCCAAACAGGTATTTTTCAATGAAAAGTAGACATTGGCAATGCAACCTAACTACACCTTCATCTTCCAGGCGAAGTAATTTGAGTAAGTCCATCAAGCGCTAATTTTGGCGTCAACTATGCTCAGTCCTAAAGTAAGGTGACTGAAACTGAAGTGCTGGCATGACTGAAACTGTTACTAATGATATGTCATGACGAAAGCAAAACCGGGTGCATATAGGACTCAAAATTTACGGCTTAAATTTAGTGCATGTTGTGGGTTTTGCGGGATGTGTATTGTTCACATTCAAATCACTCTCGTCTGAAGAGTCGATCCTCTGTCCTGGCGCAATTATTCCGTTGAATCCACACCAAAGGGCGGAAGCACTGGACTCGCGTTTCGCTATCACTAAAGCTTATCAGCCGTGTCGGGGTTTGGACTCCGGACACCTGACATGTGAGGCGAACGTGTTACCGCTATTGCACCAACGCACGTTGGATGATTCTGAATTCTCACGTCTGAAGCGGTTGTCATGTTCATGCTTGAGCGATGTCATTGGTATGCCCAACACATCATCGATGCGACGACCCAGTAATTGTCCTGATTGTGATGATTGATTGACCCGATTGTCAGGACTTCCCAGTCAGGTAGCGCCACGACAGAGTTGTCCAGTGGGTTTCAAGCGTCTAATAACAGAGAAACTCGAGTCCACTGCTCCCCCCTTGGTGTGGATTCACCAGAATAATTGCCTAAATTTAGCTTTAAGTTAAATTATGTAGTTCCTTTTCGTTGTTGCTCGCGCAGTTATTCCAACTTCATTGCAGAAACGGAATCGGACTCTGACAACGAGAGCATCTGCCCTGAGGAGATTCAAAAAGAGAAACCGATCACGAATCCAAAAGAAGTCTAATTCATTTGCCGTTTTACGGATGAATTGCTTATTTAAGCCTATTTGAATGAATCTAAATGCAGAGAATGTAAACTGTCAAACCGAAAGTCGGGTAGATGAATAAAGTTTATTGATGGAATACACTTTTTATGTTTCTTCCTACTGAGATCTCGAACAGTAGGCACAGTGATTCCAGCCCCACGGTATGCACTAGTCTGTCCACGATTCTGTTACAACGAGGAGTGGTACTCAACCACTTAATTTCAGGATCGCTGTTTCAGTAGAGGCAAAAAACGTGATATGTCGGATTCTCGAGTTCATCAGTACACTGTGCAGTTCATGCTGAGAAACCCGGAAAAACAATACTGATTTGGGGACTTCAGACTAGAGATGGGAATACGTTGATGCTCTTATGAAGAGAAGTACCCCCAGAACGACAAGTTAATTCAAGTTTTTCACTGTTATAGGGCGCACATCCTACATGACAGCATGCTTGACTAAGAGTCGAGTCATGAGGATAATACATATCAGGTTGTTTTTTCTGTCAAACGACCAACGAAGACAAGAATTCAGTTAGTTTGGGGACACCACAGGGGCCCTAATAACCAAATGGGATGAAAAGAAAGGCATAATCCTACATAGTAGACACCGGTGTCCTGCTAATCATGTGGAACCGGGTGAGTTTTTAACTAAGCAACCGAACCACTACATCACCCTCTTCCGTCGATTGCTGTTAATTGCGCAAATCCTGGAAAAGTTGATTCATACGCGATTACTTAAATGGACGGAAACATTTGAACCTTTGTTTCAGCGAGTTATGTTCTTCCTTGGGTGTGTGAAACCGATCAAAAAGTCGTGTCCATATAATAACCTGTGCTAATCTAACTTAGAGGAGGATGACAAACAGTAGGTTTGACCCACTTGCGTGAAGTGCTCTTTGTGTACTTTCAATGTTATGCAGTCACAACGAGTATAATAAAATTGAACAGTTTTCATCTTCATGTGATAAGATTGTCAGGCACCCCAAGGAGGATAAATCAGATAAAATGAAGGAGGAATTTCGAGGCGATTGGAAATGGCAGAGTATTCCGAGATCAGTTAGGGGTTTTGAAATCAGAAGCAAAGGAATAAAAGTTTCAGAAGAGCTTGGTACACCATCGATAGTTTTTAGATGAACAACGTTCCCGTTTTGAGACAAAAGCTTCTTCGATCCAAGTGAGCAGTTTACCAGACTGGACAGGTTTTAAGGCAGACGAGAACCAATCAGTAGGACCCCCTCAAAATAGCACACGAGATCAGTGTTGCATGTAAATTAAAGGATTTTGTCAGCTATGTGGTTGTCTAAATCTTACGGGGGAATTTTAAATTATTATTGATTGAGTTTGGCTACGAATTGGAAAAAAGTTGGAGATGACAGGTATTTACGGTTCTTAATAAGCCAATTAGGGCAAGGTAAGTGGTATCGATTGTAGCCCAAAAGTGCAATCCAACAACGGTATCATGGCCTACCAAAAACCCACAAGCCAGATGTCCCGGTGAAACTGACAGTGGACGGAATAGGTTCCTCGCCTCATGAGCTGCCCAGATTCTTGTCAGGTATCCTAAAACCACTCAATGGACGTCAATTACGAGGGGTATTGGTACCGGTGGTGAAACCCAACAGGGAATGAAATGGGACTGCTGCTATTCCATATAAACCAGGGACCTCCGAAGCTATTCGAAGGATTTTAAATATGATCAACACAAAAGTAGTATTTCAATACAGCAGCACTTTGCGCCCTGCACTGGCGCAGTTGAAGGATGCTTCCCAGCGAACAGAACCAGGGGTTGTGTCTACAAATTATGTGTAATCACTGCACTAAGGTCTGTATAGGACAGACAGCAAGAGAATTTCACACCAGAATCGGAGAGCACAGGAGAAAACTAAACAACCAGCCGATAAATGCAGATGAATATCGAGCGTTACAGAGAGACTCAGCAATAGCGGAACGTATACTGGACACGGATTTAGAAAATGCTGAAATTTTGAGGCGGGAAGTACGCTTCACGCATCAGGGACTGATGGCCGAGGTGAAGCAAACGGCCAAGCATTCTAGTTTAAATAGAACAGGAAGCTCAAAATAGCAAGCGTGTGGAGTACGGTTTTAGATCTGTCGAGCTGACTTGTGGTAGTGTGCGATCATCAGAAAGAGGAGTCATCAACGGAAGTAGCCTAGGTCTGAAGTGAATGAATCAAACCGACCGAAATTTCATCTAAACTCCACCCAACCCACCCTTCTCAACTAAATTTCCGTAGAACGTACGAGCCCACACAGACCGACACTCAATTGAAATACCTTGGACCAGAAGATCAAGGAACCAAACTCAATCAAAATTAATTTAATATTCCCCCATAAGGTTTAGACAACCGCATAACTGACAAAATCCTTTAATTGACATGCGACACTGATCTCGTGTGCTAATCTGAAGAGGCCCTACTGATTGGTTCTCCGTCTGCCTTAAAACCTGTCCAGTCTGGTGAACTGCTCACTTGTGTCAAAACGGGGACGTTGCTTAGTTGAAAACAATTGGTTGCTTAAGCAGCCCTTCCGACTGGTTGAAAATGAAAGATAATTCAAGCATAACTGGGAAATTGAATGATTCGACCGAGATCGTAACAACGTATCGGAGGCATGTGGATTCACACGCAGTTAGTTTTTTACATAGAGTGCTAGGGTATGAGACAATACCAAAAAGCGCTACGGTGGAGTTGGGATCAGAAGGTGTAGGCTTGCCTAACTTGGTCACGTTCAGACAAACATTAAATCCTCTACGGAAGTTGCCTTCATTGCACTGAATTGCCATGGAATGCTCAAAACGGGTTTCCAGTGCGACAGACGGCACAGTGATTCAGGTTCTGAAATTTGGCAGAAGGGTTTGGTTCGGGTGTTCTAAGGCCACTGACACCGGATGAATAACACCCCCTGCTTGAGATTCGTACGCTGAATACTCTCGTGGAATTAGAAATAAACTGCAATACACTGCTGAATAAGTGTATCAAACTATCTACCTTCGTGCGCTTAGAACGGAGAAAGTCACCAGCTGTCTAACCCAACGAGGCAGTCAATGCCTGCAGAAACACATGAATTCCCACCACAGCTGTTCTTGTCAACGAACTCTGCTAAAAGGGCTTTCAAGAGCCTGAGGGCGTATCATGACATTGTTTCAGCTGTAGTCCACCTGCATTCGCACACAAGCCTAAAAGTATACCACAATGATTGCATTTGGTCCAGCTGACAATTTGACTCAGTGTCCCGCTCTACTACCCTGATTTCTGATATGAACTGTAGGAAAACGACTCTCATACACCACTGTGATCAAAAATAGTGATCTACCAGGGGTGAGACGGATCATCGGTTAGAACGCTGACTTACTGACCGGGAGGTTCCTGGTTCATGCCCGACCCCTGCACTCGACTTCCCCTGTCTAGGCTTGGGCAATCTGGCAGTATCCCAGCCCTCGTGCTTCCTTCAGGTTGCATGGCAGCTAGGCACCGAATGGGTTTTACAGCTGAACGATCCCTACTCTTTCTTTTCTTTTCTTTCTCTAGTAGCCTACCAAGCTGATTTAGGAGCTTCAAAATCCGCCTTAAGTAGGGCTGAAAACAACGGATATACACAAGCACGCATCAAATGCGAGGTTAGGTCAGCAAGTCCAAGTTAAGTTTGCTCACGGTGATTGAATATGGAGCGAAAAAACGTCAAACTCGGTTTATGCAGGAAAAACATAAGAGTTACATAGAAACACCTCCACCTATGCTAGAGTTAATAGAATGGAAGTCTCACTCGTTATCTACATCCCTCCCAGTTCCTACAGATCTCATGCGCAGATGCTCTTCAAATAAATGTGCTGCACAAAGGTCACCTCATGTTGCGGTTGCTACAATACTTGAGATATCGCACTATACTGTCTTGATGGAACACAGTAGTCAAGGTTCCGTCAAAAAAACACGTACCTTGACTACTGTAACCACGGCGCGCTGAATCAGCTCAGCTCAGTGTGATTCCAACCTAGAGTATGCAGTGGAGGTCGAGGTAGACCAGCGCGCCGCAAGTCTCGCCCTCACACCCGAGGTGTTCAGTTTACACGGTAGTCATGATCCGCCTTGTCTGCGCCGAGTGCTCAGGCCGGGAGAGGCCAACCCGCGCAAGCCTCTGAGCAGAGGCTTGATTCGTCCGTCGGTGCAGAGCTAGGTGAAGAAACCGGACTCACCAGTCTGGCAGTCTATCGTGAAAATGGGTAGCGCGTCAACGCAACGACCACACCCCACCGTCACAGCTATAAACTCGGTTGCTGTGGTAACTCACCGTCGCTTTTTATGCCAAAAAAAACTCTAGCTCGAACACCTGAAGCACCGCAGCGCAGGTACCATTAGGGATACGGGAAGCCAATAAATGACTCGGCGACAAACACCTTCAGATTGTGCAATGAAGCGTGGCCTTCTGCCAGCACATTCTCATCCCGCAGTGCATGACGTCCGATTCCTCACTATTCGTAGGTTTCCCACATATTTCTTTAGAATCTCCAATCTGGTTTTTATGAAACACAACACCAAATATTTGGCCTTAGTGACGCGCCCCCATAAGAAGTTCCAAAACGTGCCTTTTCATTACCGGCTGCACTTCGTCGACAATTCTATCGAACCAAAACGCAATCATTGTAATCGTGCTACCCACACAACACTGTCTGTATCCGGCCCTCAAATGCCATCTGGGCACTGTCGTATGCCACCGTTGCCTGGAATCTCACCTGCCTTAGTCACAGCTATGACTGCACTACACACGGTTCATTCGTCACTTCTGTCTCGCCATCCGCCTTACTTGCAATGGTCTCCACAGAAATGCACTAAAACTAGTCTTTAGTCTGTCATGTTTGTTCGTGTTCAGGGTGTCACTGTGACTTCAGGCTACAGACAAGAGTTTCACGGAACTTTCCCTGACGTCATAAGAATACCCGACTAGGGTAGGGAACTGATCTAAGTTAATCATATTAGCCATCAGCATACAGTGCAGGTTTCCTGTGATACCCATTTGATGTGGGGTTTCCCACACGGCTGAGCAAATTCAGTTTGCTTCGCTTGTCAAACAGTTTAATTTGACTGTTTAGAATTTCTAGCGGAATAGGCGACATGGAATGCATTTCTGGTCTTTGCATAGAAAGTTCTGCCGAACTTTCATCCGATCGAGCGTAGCATGAGGCAGTGTCACACCGGACGAGCATGAACCCCGCGACATGTTTGCGGTCAACCACTACTGTACTCCCAATAAATACAACTGGATCGCTTGTGAACCTAATTGAAGTATTATTTTGATCAACTGGTTATAAAAATACCAAAAGTGAAAGCTGGAAGAAAGAAGAAAAATCATAGAACCACTCCTCATCGGGAGAGATTTCAATGATATTTCCTGAACCTTTTCCTCCACTCATTTTGCTGAACTTTTGATGAATGCCGCTTCATAAACCGTCATTCGGAGAAGCCATCAACTGATCTGGAGCACAAATATTGGCGTGGTGGTGGTGGAAAGGGCCCGGAGATCAAAACCAGTAAAACAAGGCTAGTGAGATATAACGCGGCAGAATAGGAGCCAACTTTTTATGGTATGAGAGGTGTGGGCAACTGAACTGTCCCCACCTGTCTAACGACGATGACGGGTCGCGATATTGAATGTTTCAGTGTCTTAATGTACCTACCTAAAACAGCTACGCATCCTATCGCTAAAAATGAAATCACACAAGAGAATGGCCTGTATTTGCTGTGTTCACTTACTTAATATGCCTCGAATATTGGGCTACAAAACGAACAAAACAATCAGCGCTGATCGCATAAAGGCTGGTCGTTTCACTGAAGTTACGTGCGTTTATTCATTCGGCACAAAACTCACAACAAACGATCATATTCCAACATGAAAAGATGCTTCTTTAGGGGATTTTCTTTCATTGGACGTTCATTCCTCTGGATTTCGTTAACTTACAGAGCCTGGCTAGAATGCGCTTCTATTACTAACAGGTTTCATATTCTGGGACACTTAACGTCATCCATCTAGAGATCATAGTCCAGACCATACGGTGTCACTAAGCGGATGAGATCTACTGTACTCGTCTTGCACTCGTCCTTTGTTTCAAAACAGCGTCAGATGAATGGTTGCCATACAAACCGCTAACACACACCATAAGGCAGTTTGTCATTTAACTAAGGCTTTAGAGGGAAGTTCAGGCTTCGAAAATTGTGCTGAAATTCGCCACCTATTGACGCGATCAGATACATCGATTAACTGAACATGATGAACGTGAACAATCCGCAATCTAATGCTTCAGCAATCCAAACCGAATCACCTGTGAATGGCCTATCGTTAGAAGAACGGGAATGCAGTGAATTCAACCCAACCTGATGGGTCGCATCACAAGTTCTCGTTGATTTTCTCCATCCCCTGTTCGCAAATTTCCTCCATTCAGCACTTAGGCGTTAACATCTACAAAAAACTGGACCTCCTCGAACTACAGTTTACTGTGATCCAATCTCACGCAACCCTTGCGTGCCAAACTTGTATAGAGCCAGTCATCCACAGCCATTGCGTAGTTCCAAACTACTTGCCATTCCGTGCTTCACAGCCTGTTTATATTTGCACTCGCA